GCCTTAGTGCCCCCACCAGTGCCGATATACAGCCATATCGCACTGCTACTCGTGTGATATTGCGTTTATACAACAGTTTGACGGCATAATTGTGTATATAAAAACTAAATCAAACATAGTCTTAAAAACCCTTTTGTATGAGGAACTACTTTCTTCCACATTGGATTCAAATCATAAGCTGACAGTTAAACAGTTGAGCAAGCATCTCATGACTGCTTTCTGCTGGCTGTATGAGGACGAAGTAATACACAAAGGGTAAAGAGGCTGTATGGGTGCTGATATTACTTAAATATATCACGGCTATCAGCCAATCAAATTCGTGAACCAGACAGAACTGTTGTATATATATATATATATAGAGAGAGAGAGAGAGAGAGAAAGAGAGAGATTGATTTAGAGGGCTTTTAGTTGTATCGTATTATTCAGACAATAAATTATAAAAATCATTTAAATACAATTTTAATGATAAAATTAATTACTATTTTATTATTGCAAATTATTTTCTTATAAGCCCTAAAATGAATGAACAAACTGTTGAATCCTGTGTTTTTAGACATCAGCTGTCCTCGTCCTGACATTCCTCGTGGATCCAGAATGAGGGGCTTCAGGTCAGTCTATAAGTACGGGAACACCGTCACCATCGCTTGCAGTCCTGGATTACGACTCTACGGGGAAAGTTTCGTCACTTGTGGAGCTGACGGAAACTGGACACCCAAACTACCAGAGTGTCGGAGATAAAATGCAAACCAATAATACACAAGACAGCCATCCGCAAGTCAGAATAAAGCTTTTCCTATGCTGTAGCTCATTCCAACACTATAAAAACACTAAATGGTATTTACACATTATTTATTGGCACAAAGTAACTATTTTCTGAAAGTATTTTTATATGTATTTTTCTGTTAAAGGGTTAGTTCACGCAGGAATGAAAATAAGCTCATTATTTACTCATCCTCAAGGCATCCTAGGACTTTCTTAAGAAAATTACTAACTAGTTACTGTAATAAATTACATTTCTCCTGAAAAAAAAGTACTTTCAAAGAATTACATTTAGTTATTAGGTCATTTTATTACTGTTACTTACAGTGCCTTTGCTTTAAATGCTATCCCAAAATGTAATAGTTCTATATAAATCATATTAGAGAGGTAAATGTTTTTTCTTTTTTGGTTATACAATTACATTGGGTAAAATAAGTATGGAACACGTCATGTTTTTTTCCAGAAATAATATCACTAAAGGAGCTGTTGAGATGGAATTTAACCAGATTTCAAGATAACCCGAACACTTCAAACATAAAAATAATACATCGAACCGAACAAATCTGAAAAACGTGCTTTGTGTAATAATGAAGTGATATGAGAAAGGGCTGAACTACTGTGTTTAATACTTTTTATTAGGCTATTAAGGCTTTTTTTTTTTTTTTGGAGCTGCTGCTTAAAGACACTTTTCATTTGGAGAATAAAGTCACATACTTTGCTCAGGTGAGAGTTTTTTTTTGTCAACAGAGTATCAAAATCTTGATGGTTCTGTGGGTCTTGTCTGTCAAAGCTGACCTTTATTTAGTATCCTCTATTGCATTCGGGTCAGGTGATTGGCTGGGCCATTTTACAGCTTGATTTGAGAGTCTCCTTGACTGTGTTTTGGATAATTGTCTTGAGGTAATGTTCACTCTGGTTTCATCTTCATCCTCCTGCTAATGTAGATGTTGGGCTGAAGCAGCTGATATTCATTTACACTGAGAAAGGGCAGAGGGTTGCTGAAGAACTACTAAGAGATTTCAGCTGCTGTCTGGGCTTTCACTGCCAAACTACACCTTCCTTTCTTCATGTGTTCTATACATTTTCCCTGCGTCATTTCATATTATTACAAAGAACTTCATTTGTAAACTAGTAAGTTTGGTTTTCTTTGCATATATGGATTTCTTTGGCTATTATTAACATCTTTTGAAAACCTTTAGAAATGTGTTTTCTTAGAAAAAAGGTGCTGTGTTTAATACTTATTAATTGTTATTACTATTTTAAATAAATTGAGAAATTTACTTTCTAGTGTTGAAATTCAGAGAACCACGGTAATTGTATAAATGGATATTTTGCATTAAAAAATTCATTTTAGTCGGCGCAATAGCCTAGTGGTTAACGCGCCAACATATGGTGCAGTAGCACGTCAAGGTGTCCCGAGTTCGAATCACGGCTCAGAACATTTCCCTACCCTACCCCCCTCTCGCTCTCTTCAACTTTGCTTCCTGTCTCAATGCTGTCCTATCTAAAAAGGCCAAAAAATAAATCTTCAACCTTCAAGCAGAGGATGTGTTAATAATGACAGAATATTATAAACTATCCTATATGAACTATCCTTTTAAGTTTAACTTGTGTTTTATTTGTTAGATTAAACAAGAGGCTTATCAAAATCGCCAGCTTATTACAATAATATTTATATACTTCTTTTTAATCCTCTTTTTTATGTAAAGGACTTTTAAAAACTATTAAAAAGCACTTTTAATTATCATTGTGTATGAAATGTGCTATATGAATACCCTTGCCTCAATAATAATTCCTTACATCTATATAGGAATGGGGGGGGGGGGTGTACCAGTGTGCAGCATCCACCTGGATGATGCGATAGCAGCCATTTTGCGCCAGACCGCACACCACACACCAGCTGATTGGTGGAGAGGAGACAGAGTGAAAAAGCCAGTTATTATATGGGGAGGGTTAGGAGGCCATGATGGAGAGAGGCCAGTGTGCAAAATTTAACCCCTACTCTTTCCCGAAGGGCATCCTTAGATTTTTAAAGAGTCAGGACCTCAGTCTGAAAGACGGCACTCTATACTGGAGCATTAGGACCCACACAGACCACAGGTTGGGCGCCCTCTGCTGGCCTCACTAACACCACTTCTGGCAGCAACCTAGCTTTCCCATGTGGTCTCCCATCCAGGTACTGACCGGGCGCAGCCCTGCTTAGCTTCAGTGGGCAACAATGTGAGAGTTGCAGAGAGCTAGCTGCCGGCTATATTGCCTGGGCTAGTTATTGACTTGATTTAATGTCACCAATGACCCTGATTTCAGCTAAATATCTTTATGCTGCAGTCACATTAGCATTTGAGCATGCAAAATTCTGTTGTGCGGTGATGATTTAACATTAAAAAAAAGTGAGCGATTGCTCCATATTTAAAATTTCTGTCCAGAGAGGTCATGTTTAGATTTCGTGTTGTCTCATGCAATCATCTGATGCGATTTTACAGGTCAGAGCTTGAACTTTCCGATGCAGCAAACTGCGAAATTTGAAAGCTTGCGCTTCCAGTCTGCCGCATTCGCATGCATATGAACGCAAGTCTATCAAAGCGCAGTGTGACTGCAGCTTTACTGGAATGTAAAAAAATGGATGGTTCGAGCGCAAGTAAATTAACAACAAACCCATTTTTAGATTAAAATATTTTATGGATTTTATTAGCAATGATACAATATTTGAACTATACAATTTATTTAAAAACAAAACAGAGATTTGTGGCTTTCATAACATCATTGTAATGTATAAAATTGTAAACAATCTATGGATGTAAACTCCAAGTCTAAATATTGACATCATAAGGGGAAGGAAATGCCAGAACTGTAATTTATAAAACTGTAATTCCAACATCAGCAAGAGTCTTTGTTTGATGACATTGGAGGAACTCGCTGATCTTCCACTATCAGCATGAGTGGTACATTTCTACCGGTAAGTTTATACTTTGTGGTACAGTATGAGAGTGTGTTTCCTCATAATACTTTTCCAAAAATATTTCCCAGATTCTGTTTAACGGGGAGATTTAAAAACAACACATTTTTAGTGTTTATTAATGTTAGTTAATAGTTTAAATAACTAATGTCTTGTCTTTGCCATGACGACGAAAGTATTCTACAAGATACTAGTGACGACTGACTTCTTGATGCTTCGAATCCTTTACGAATCTTGCGTTTTAAATCAATGTTTTGGAGCGTTTATCAAATTGTCAAGATCATGTCATTTCAGCTCTATTTTAACGATCTAGGCGCAAAAGCATTAAAGGCGTGTCAGAATTTACTTTTGCTATTTTAAAGGACAGAAAAATCCACTTTGCACCGTGGCGCATGGTCTAACAGGGTTGAGCTTTTTCTCTTAATGAGTAGCAGTTTTTTTTCAGTCGCTTTGGTGCGTTTCTCACAACACCAGTGCATTTCTGCACAACAGTTTATGCATTTCTCAAAACAATTAGTACAAACTGCAAAACCTAGCTGATAACCTGCAAAAGCGCATCACATGCCAAAAATGGATAGTTTATACCTCAAAAGCAAGTATACATGTCAATCAAAGCACAGTATTATCAAAATGAAAAGTCCTGACACTATTGTTTATGAACAAGATAGTCATATGGCTTTGTCATGTTTTCATTATGTCAGTTTACTCTGGACATTTTTTCAATGCAAAAAAGTCATATTTTGGTGAAACTTCGTAAAAATGCTCAAGATAGTACCATATACTATTAGCACAGCCAATTAAAAAATACAGTAAAGTTGGACATCACTGCATTTAGTGAGTGTATCTGAGTACAAGACACTGAATATGTATGTTTCACATTTTTTCTGCATTTGCTCTTTACAATTAGAATTTTTTCACAGCATTGTGCAGAAGAATAAACACACCCTTATTTACAACAAACATAAACTTTCTTTGGGTTGAACTGTGCACAACTGTACACAATATTGCAGAACATATTGGAACTGAACCAACATACATACACAGGTCTGTAAATCATTCATGAAACTGTAATTTAGAAGACATTTTCTGTAAAATAAAGATTTAAACATTTTTTTAAATAAAATTAGCCTGCAAGATTTTGACAGCTAGTTCAACATTTTTGTATGTAATGACTCAAGTAATGAAATGAAGACTATTCGTTTTTTATGGAATGACTTTTCAGGATTCACAAGTTTAGTTAATTTTGACTGACATGACATCAGCAAATGATAATGTTATAAACAGCAGAGAGTTGTATGAAAGCAATTGATGCATGTCCAAAAGCATTCGCAATTTGTTGGAAGGAATGAGAAACTGCTACTGGGATGTGCACAAAACTGTTTTGAGAAATGCATGACCTGTTGTGCAAATGTAAATAGTGTTGTGAGAAATGCACCAAAGCGACGGAAAAAAACTGTAAGCGCAAAGATTTGTTTCAAAACTATTTCTAAATTCAGTTCTAATTTCCAGCACACAAATAAATGAACAACAATAACGAAGTGTGGTCAAAAACCTGAGTTATATCCAAATGCACATGCTGTGCCGCATATGGTCTAAAACCTGACAGGTGGACAAATCTAAGCTTGTTTTTAATAAAACAAATATGAATATGGATATTATCAATAATACTGCTAATAATAACATTATACAAAAACAATATATTAACATTACACAAAATTATACAAATAATCTCATATTAAACTTTATTTTACATCTACAAAATGGTGAGAGAATCGTGATCTTTATTTTAAGCAATAAAAAAAAATCGCTATTCTCGTTTTAGCCTGAATTTTGCAGCTCTAACTGTACATCCTGTTTGTATTATTCAATGTGTCAGCGAGGCTGGACAATAGACCGGCTTTGATCTGATTTGAATTCTGTCAAAAGTTTCCTCTGGTGTTAAACATTAGTCGGGAAATATTTGAAAAAGAACTAACAATTTTGTCATCAACTGTATTTTTCTAAAGTTTACCTGATCTGACTCTGCTTTTATTTTAGGATGCTGTGTTGTCGCACTGTCGAGGCACAGCTTTAATACGGAAGGGCGCGGGAGCAGATGCGATGGCCACCGTCCTCTTCAGACTCAGTGTTTCTCCTTCCGGAGGCAGGAAAGTGAAATGCTGCATCAGAGAGATGAAGAAGAGGAAGAGCTCCATACCGGCCAGCTGCTCACCTGGACACATCCGCTTACCTGCAAGACAACAGCTGACTCCATAAACCTGCTCACCATCTCAGAGTGTTAAAATAAGGTCATACACTATTATTCAATTATAGGCACATTTCAAATTAAATAAATCAACCTTTTTAATTCAGTAAAGATGCATTAAATAGATCGAAAGTTATGTGATTATGTAATATCCAGTTAAAAAGAAATGCACCATCAAAATGCAACAATAAATGTGTTTATTTCAGCAGGGGCACAACTGCACATTTACAGAGGGGTATGCGGGTTCAAGTTTTGCCCCCCCTCATTCTGAATATTCTGACTATTTGTTCATGTGTCAGTTTTAACAGGGTTAAGAACCGTTATAATCAAGCATATAAAATTTATCTAGGGGAATTTTTTGTCCAGACATTATTTTCTATTTTATCTGAAATATATTCAGTAGGCCAGCACGGAGTCTGAATGCGCAAAAATCAGCAGATCTTTAGCCCGGGATTGAGTCCATGTATTTACTTGTGTAAATGTGTGTAAATTTATATTTATTCAGTTTTTAAATTCATTTC